AGGATCATAACTTGTGTGTTTAGTAATCAGCATAAACCCGGCAATGCCCACCCAAACCACAACCAACCAAAACAGACAAAAACGCAAACATAACACTAACACAAAACAAACACAAACGAAAACATAAAAACAAACGCAAAGACAAACTCAACCACTAATACAAAGAAAACACAAACACTAACGCAAACAAAAAAGCAAACGAAAACAAACCAAAACGCTAACACAAACTCAACCACAACCAAACAAAACAAAAACACACCAAAAAAACAATTCAAACATAACTCAAATGCAAATACAAACAAAAACGAAAACACAAAGAAAACACAAACACAACCACAAACACAAAGAAAACACAAACGCAAAGGAAAAAAAAGCAAACGAAAACACAAACGCAAAGAAAAAAAGCAAACGAAAACAAACCCAAACCCAAATCCAAACGCAAACACAACCACAAACGCAAACCCAAACTCAAACACAAAGAAAACACAAACGCAAAGATAAACTCAACAGTTTAGCCAGTGGCGCCAAATCGCACCATGACGACGTGCGGCGTAACCGCCTGATTCAACTTAGTAAACGACTATAGTACCCAAATTATTCATAGTCTTTTGAACTCACTTACGCAAACGTAGGTACAATTGCGCACACGGGAAGGCCTGGGGCGCCAAATAGCACCCTGTCGGGATGCCGGAGGACGCCCGGATTTGATTCACTTAAAGACTGTTGTAATCTTTCTTATATGTAGTCTATCGCACTGTTTAAACTAAAATATGCAGCATAGCGCTCACATGATAGCCCAGGGCGCCAAATCGAACCGTGCAGGGCCGCCGGCGGACGCGCCTGTTTCAATTTAGTGAACAAAATTATAATTCTCCAAGCTTATCCGTAAATGGAAAGAAATAAACATATATTGGATTTGTAGGACCGGGCTTATTAAATGTTATTGATTTTAAAGAATAATTAGTAAACAGTATGTTCAGGGAATAGAATAAAAAAGGCAGTATTAAAAATACCAACGACATTGCACTTAATCAATCCCCGCTAATTATGTAATTATTTTTTTTCTTCACACCAAAACAAAGTAATAAAAAGTAAATTCTTTCTTCCCCCGATTTAATGTTTTTTCTTTAATGGGAAGTAACTGTGTTTTCCAAATCAAGGGACGTTATAAGAACTAAAGGACGAAATGCAAATACATTTCAGACACAATTTTAGAAATTTTATAAACGTTTTTTTTTTATTTTATGTAATGTTCATAATTGAAAATTATTATTCTAAGTATATAAAATGAAAATTGTTTTTAAAGACTTTCAATAGTTATTTTTTAACTCATAAATGTAGACCATGAGTAATATAATAATCTAACACTTAAATCAATCGAAGTATCCACGACACTTTTCAATTTACGTACATATATACAGAATTGAACTTGATATATTAGATTATCTTTAGGAAAAAGCGCACTTCGACCACATCGACAATATATATATATATATATATATATATATATATATATATATATATATATATATATATATATATATATATATATATATATATATATATATATATATATATATATAATATATATATATATATATATATATATATATACATATATATATACATATATATACATATATATATACATATATATATACATAAATATATATATATATATATATATATATATATATATATATATATATATATATATATATATATATATATATATATAATATATATATATATGTGTGTGTGTATAAATATATATATATATATATATATATATATATATATATATATATATATATATATATATATATATATATATATATATAATGTATTTATCGATGCTGATTTATTTCAGTCAAATTACTAACGTTAACATGGGAGGAAGTAAGAAAACCAGAAACTAACAAAGAAGAAACTACTTTAAAATCCAACATGAGCTTACAAACAAGGAAAATTAGGGCGTGTTCTCCGAACTAGAGATGAGGGGTATGCTGATTCAAACAATTTTGACCTCCGCCAAGAAGCAGCCAGAAATTTCTGGCTTTGACCGCAAATTGCGACGAAGCATTCATGATAAAAATAGAAAAGATAAAACTAAAACTATACTAAAAGAAGGTGTGGGTAAAAGTAAAATTAACTCTCAGAAAGTCTATGAAAATGTTGCTCCCAACATATCTTACAGAGCTCTGACAAGGTCGGCAACAAGTTCCTTTCCACCACCAACACAACTTCATGAAGCCACACTACAGCTCCCAGCAGAGCCTACCGGAGCTTTATGCCAAAACAAGATTGAAATTGATCATTTGTACAATACTGATTCCGACGAGGATTTAACGTACGGGTTAAAAAGTTCAACAAAAGTTCCGGAAATTTTAAATAAAAGTCCTTTTGTTGACTCGGATGTTGATTCCGATAAGGGCTATGACTTAACAACTAAGACAAAACAAAACACGATATCTCCATACCACTCTATAGAGAAAGGCGATGCTTTAACAGAAAGTTTTACTTGTGTGGATGTACCCAATAATTCACCCAACTTCAAAGGCTCATCTTCTGAGTTGTCGGATCGTAAGACAGCTCGTGAGGCAGCTTTAAACAAGGAGACAGCTCTGGCGGAAGAGGCTCACAAGAGTCTTGCTATCCTTAAGCTGAAAGATGCAGTGTGTTGGTGTGAGGCGTGCGACGATGACACGACAGAGCAGACCAACTGCTACCACTGTGGACGTCTGTCGTACTGCATGCTGTCCTGCAAGAGATGCGCGTACGTCAAGTACTGCAGCGAAACGTGTTGTGCTGCAGATTTAGAGTCACACGACGAAAAATGTGGTAAGTATATGGCAAATATCTGAAACGAGCCGAGCCGCGGCGTATCATACGCCGCTATTTAGTTGTTTTATTTTCTACTTTTCAGTAGTTCATAATTTGTGAATTCGACAGTACTAATGCTGCCACTTAATATATTTCCTTTAAAACACTATCGGTAGCTCGTTGAAGACGATAACTACCCCCCCCCCCCTCCTTTCCCCATCCCTACCCCCCCCCCCCTGAAAGCAGCCTCCTCTTAGTTACCTCCCCTAAGTTTAAAAATCGTTGAAACTAAATTATCTGCCCCTAATAGCCGTCACTAAACCCGGCTCTACGATTCGATTGTAAACATTTAGCGTGAACTACAGCCACAGACCATGTAGGGGTGGGGGTGGCAGGTAGCGCGCTTACAGCTTGTTTTCTATCGTCTCCAAGAAGAGAATTATATATATATATATAGATACATATTACATGACCAAAATATGGTGATAGTAGTTAATGATCAAGATATACATCTATGGATAACATTTGGTTTACCAGAGCTGTGTGAGTTATTTGAGCTTTTTACTAAAATATTTTTTGAAAACAACTTTAAACTTTGGCACTAACAAATCAATGACGTGAAAATTAATATAAAATATAAGCTAATTAATATTACAAGTGATGAATCATTGTTCTACTAATAGTTGAGTGCTTGCTAGTAAAGTGTGAGCATACATTGAGATACAGGTAAGGCTACGTGTGAATTAAGAATATAGGCACGCTGACGATACCAGTGTTAATGAGTAGAGTTAACTGATGTGATGCTGGTACCTATAGAGGTAATGCCTTTTATTTCCGACAGGTCAAACGTAAGTCTATTACACAAGTAATACAATTTTAATTTCTAATTAGTCATTAGTCATAATAAATTAATTTAAAAATTCGTATGTACAGCAAAAAAGAGGCAAACAAAAAAGGTGGTAGCGACTATCTAAACTAATAGAATAAGCAGTACAGCTTTATAGAGGGTTTTACAGTTATTACAAATATAATATCACAGCTTCAAATAATTTTATTTTTTTCTTTACAGACGCTAAAGGCACAGATGTTGAGCTTCTAGCAGAGATTATTCAAGTCGTCCAGCACACAAACTTTTACCTGCTCACAATACAGGTAGAAAATTAGCAACGCACCTCATCTTAAAACAATTTTGAAAATTAATTAATGTATAATTAATTGTTTTCGTTGTCGATTGACCTTAAATTAAATACCAGCTTAGCAAGTTGCTGCTACCAGAATTTCTTTCCACATTTGTCATCGCTGCAAGAAATTGTATGTTAACAAAAACCATGTAGACCTGAGGTTCAGTAAGTCCATATGTGTCTGTAACATCTTCATATTCGTGTATTGTGTGTTCAGCATCATGCCCAGGCATGCCCAGGCATCTTTACTTCTCCCAACGTGGGTTAATTTACAAACCTTACCAAGGAGGTCCCAGCCACGTCATAAAATTTCGAACCATATTTAAAGCCCAGACTTCCCAGAAAGCAGCCAAGCTCTCTATCACTTGGCCACACTGTTGCTTAAAGCAACACCTAGACTCTGCTCTACCTTTCCTAGTAGAACTTATTACGTTTACATTTAAAATATTGTGGTATCGATTAAGGTAAATCAATAGCCACTTTTGCTATGTGACAAGTGGGGATCGATAATGCTTTATAACTTCAGAACTAAACACTATTATATACATCGGAGTCAGTATAAATACTCGTTGTATCTTTATTCGGTTTTGTATTAAATATTCATCACATCTGACTATCAAAGTCTTGGCCCTAAAACTTCCCTACCCTACATATACAATATGTCATATCCCTTTTATGTATACTTGATACAAATACTTCAGAGAATTACTATATTTATAGGGGACAACTCTAAACCTTTGCTAATTTTTATACATACCAACAATTACAATACTGAATCTAGCACATTCAAAACAATCATCATGAACCGAAGTCTATTTTGTTTTATATGAAACACTTTGACTCATCTTCAATGAATATAACGTAGCCTTTTGATTTGTAAAAAAAAAAAAACTACATTTTTTAAAAGCATTTTTACTTTACTATGGAGACAAATATCATATGTAGAAATAGAACTAATTATTAGCTAACAACATTTAACCAAACTATTTCAGCGAATCAATCAAATGACAAAAGACTTGACCATCCTTCTAAAAATCTATGAACATGAATACTCAACAGAAGAACTTAAAGCGGAGCTGAATAGAGTACTGGAAAGTAACGCCCAGACAATAATTGTAGAGCCAGCAAGATTGGGAGAAGACACAGTTAGATGGATAGCACGCGGAAACCGTCTTAACGAAACAGCTGTTTTGTCTGGTGTGGGATGTCTTGTTGGTGGCTTATTCTTGCCTAATCGGGGAATCGTGTTCTTACTTATGGGATTCACAAGTGTAGTTTGTGCTGGTGTGTATGCTATATCATGGCAGTTTGACCCGTGCTGTAAATATCAAGTCGAGTATGATCACATGCCAGTACCCAAAACTCCTCTACTTTCTTTAACAGCAACTACCCCTGTGGTGTTAGTAAGAAAAGATGACTATCGAAAAAAAGTTCTTCAAAGTATCTTAGCAATAGCTGCTGGTTCTTTCTGTTTTTATAAAATATATACATGGCATTCATAACAAAATTAGAATAAATGAGTTTAGTGTATGTTAATGGTACTAATATCACCCTAAAAAACCTCTTATTATATTATACCTGTAGGTTTGTAAGTTTATATATATATATATATATATATATATATATATATATATATATATATATATATATATATATATATATATATATATATATATATGTATATATATGTATATATGTATATATATATATATATATATATATATGTATATATATGTATATATGTATATATATATATATATATATATATATATATATATATATATATATATATATATATATATATATATATATATAATGGGCTGGCCTATTAAATATAAATATTTTAACGATTATTAAATTCTATAAGGCAAGGGAACAAAACTAAACACGATCAATCACTAGTCTACGGTTGTTAGCTGTTTGTTCACAATTGAAAGCAGACCACTTGTGAAAAAAGTGACAGATTATTTTCTTTTAAAGATAGCCTGCTTCAAATCCGAGTATCAATCAAATATTTAGTCGTAGGCCCTAAATATCGTCGACTTTATTAAGAATGCAAAACATGCTAAAAATTAAAGTCTTTTGTAAGCCTACTAGTTGTTCTTGAAGAGGTAAACATAACTTACAGTTTAAATTTTAACATGTATGTTTGTTTGTTTTTACTTTCCTAATGCGTCGAGTAAGCTGAGACCGACATTTAAATAATTGATTTTCTTTAGCTTCACGGGACCGTCTTCTTTACAACACCACGGAATCGAGACAAAAGGCCGACATGTTAAAAAGGCGGACATACACAAATGTCGACCGTGAAAAAAGGCTGAAGGGACGATACTGTCGACATTTTAGTTTATTGGCTTTATGTTTAATCAGCCTTTGTTTTTATGAAGAAAGTGACAATAATAAAAGAAATAATGATTATATTGTTCTAAATCTTTACAATATCAAAATAGTAAATAATGTTGATAATTAGAATAATAACTTATAAATTATAATATTAATAAATGGTAAGTAATAAGAATACCAGTTTAAACAGAAACAAGTACAACAACATTTATTGTAACTACGTTATCCTTCAAGAATATAAATAATGATTGTGCTTTTTAAAGGGATTCCAAAATTTCCAAAGCTACCACCTTTTTTTACTAGTGTGGTTCGCATAATACCTTGAATATTAACTTCAAACATAAGACTAAACGATCGAAATGGTTTTCATTTAAAAGGCAACGGAAGTAGTATTGTGTTCAATTATGTTTAGCAGCCCGAATCAAATCGATCAGGTCAAAACAAAACACTATCACGATTAATTTTTTTTTCTTTTTTTTTTAAATGCATGTAGGGTTATTATTGTATCCTTCAGAAACATTCTACTACTTTAAAAGCGCTTTGTGTTGTTATCGTTAACTAGCTGATGCCATTTATTCCATTCTGGTCGTCACGGCCAGGCTCTGCACTGGCGTGTGTGAAATTCTTATCTGTAAAGGATTGTGTCTTGTGTGTTTATTAAGAATAATATACCGGGCTGTCATGGTTTTGGAAATGTATATCATTTCTAATTAAAAGGATATGCACATTTTTTTTCTATTTTTTGCAATTTAAGATTGAATTTTTCGGTAAATTTTGGAAAAATAAGGAAGTTTATGTAAACACTTATGGCAATCAAAACTACGCAGCTTATATTTCAGTTTATATTAAAACTTTTTGATAAATATTGAACATGAACATGAACATGAACATGAACATGAACATGAACATGAACATGAACATGAACATGAACATGAACATGAACATGAACATGAACATGAACATGAACATGAACATGAACATGAACATGAACATGAACATGAACATGAACATGAACATGAACATGAACATGAACATGAACATGAACATGAACATGAACATGAACATGAACATGAACATGAACATGAACATGAACATGAACATGAACATGAACATGAACATGAACATGAACATGAACATGAACATGAACATGAACATGAACATGAACATGAACATGAACATGAACATGAACATGAACATGAACATGAACATGAACATGAACATGAACATGAACATGAACATGAACATGAACATGAACATGAACATAAATATGTAATTTAACAGTAAATTCAACACATTTTTAATGTTTGTAAGCTGGAGGTTATTGTTCTAAAATGTCATTACTGTTCGAATATTATATCTTCTTAACTCACTTATTTTAAATCTACAAGTGTAAGTCGCTGATGAAATCACATGAATATACAGGTACATAAAAAATTGCTTCTGTATTTATTACTGAATGTGCATTTTTAAATTGTAACTTGAAGCATCGAATTTTTCAACCTGCATTTACTGCCATATCAATTGTTTCTGACTTAAAGGACAACAAAAATTAACGGTGATACAATGTTAATGATGTTACTGTTTGGGTTGTTGATGCCATACCTCCTGTCTACGTCGGAGGCTGATACATCATACAACGTCGCTCTTTACAAACCAGCTTTCCAGTCGGCAGTGTACAAGGACTGGGTTCCCGAAAAAGGAAATGATGGCGGGAAGTCATTTGCCGACCTAGGTGGACAGTGTATACACACCTCGCTAGAAAACAACAGTTGGTGGATGGTGGACCTGTTAGACTGTTACGTCATTAAGTCCGTTGTTCTGACCAACAGGTAAGTTTACATGACTTAAAATGTTTATTAAAATGTAATATAACGTAAAAATACATTCTCTATACAACTATCTGCTGGTATAAATCATGAAACACTTTAATAAAAACAAATTATTATAAATACAATGAAGGGGCTAAAATTATGTTACAGCTAAGGCAATCAAGTAACGAACAAATTTAAATATTTACTGTTCAGACTTGAAATATCGACTTTCGCTTTTTCATGTTTTTCTTTTTCTCCAAAATTTCAATTGCGAACTAATATTTGTTCTTTTTATATGCAATAATTAAATTTCTACATCTAGCATCTCAAATATAACTGATCGTCTACGCTCTCCTTTTGTATTAAACATAAGAATTTACCTAATCAGGTGTAATATGGGAACGTTCATAGGGGTCTAGGACATCATTCCTTCCCCCCCCCGTCAATTACCCCACAGATATCTGGCTCCCGACATAAACCCCCTGGACAAACCCCCCCCCCCCCCCCGCGACATAAACCCCCTGGACAAAAAACCCCGCGATATAAACCCCCAGGACAAAAACCCCCCAATTGATGTTTATATAAGGAAAACCCAAAGATGATGAGAAACAAAACTAATATATAAATACAAAAGCAAACATTAGAAAAAAAAACTTTTATTTTTATTATAACTTTAAAAAGACAGATTGTGAGCAATGCCTCGCAAATACTCAATAATGGTGGACTCATTAAAATTTTTAACAACAGTTAAAATTCGAGAGCTGCTATCAATATATTTTTTTTTCTGTTTTGGTAAACATTGACCTGAATTAATCTGTGTACAATAAACCTCTTGGAGAGATTGTTCCTTTTTAATAAAGTCAATAAATTTCCAAATATTTGGGTGGCAACATCCCATATGCGACTGAAAACTTCTGTGCCAGCCTTCAACTGAGTTGTTTGTTTTTAGCATATGGTCTTCAGCACGTGTGTGCATACTCCACATATCAATTGGAAACATAGGTTGTCTCCGACCTCGACGTTGTGGACTGCCAATATAGTAGTCCTCAAAGTAGTCTGCAATCAGCATTGCTTCTTGGGGGAAAATTTCCAATAATTTTTCAAAGGCATAACTCATGTGTTCGATGGGAAAAAAGGCCAACGCAGGTAGCATTCTGAGCTTGAGAGCAAATTCACTATCAACTTGGTAGAGTTGTTGAAGGCCAGACGCAGGAGCTATTTTGAATGTACCATCCATAAACCAATGCTGATTGATCTCCAATAACCTAAAGTTGTCCTTGGTTCCAAACAAAAACATCCTACCTTTTGATTTGGCACCGGAATCAAACAGAAGAAATTGTTGTCCATATTGTGTCATTGTATATTGTTCAGAAATGATTATATCATCAACATTCCTTGGATCAGACAGTGGGTGTTTTAGCGTTTGACGTTGAGGCCTGATGTTACGCCGTATGTGTGGAATCGAGGGCAGCTTGGCCTTGGCATCTTCAGTAATCGTAGTAATGGACTGAGTGATGATCTGCTGGGTGTTGCTTCCGTTTCTTCTGCCAGTTGTTTCATCTGCTGCACTACTTTACACACTTCCAGTTGAGATGGATCTGGTCCATGCGAATGTTCATTACATCGTCCAACAAGCTGTTTATTATGAATCTTTATTTTTGATTTGCATTCTGTCTTGTTGCGTGTTTTGGCACACTCAAATGACACAACGCCGTTCGCTAGATCTTTTTGCTTGACATAAACATAGCCTTCAAAAATCACCTTTAAATTTCCTTTATTGGATTGAACGAACTCCATTCCAGAAAACATACGATTTGTCGAGAAAAAAAATTAGATTTTATATTTATACCGTGCTTCTGTATGCCAAGGTGGATATGAACCAAGCTTCCGCTGGTGAATCCCTCACATCTTTTGAATTGTTAAGAATGTTTTGCTTTGATCCGCACGGCTCTCACATGTGGATGACCTATATCTAAGGTGTTGTCGGTGCTCGATCTTTGATCAAATACAACTAAGGTCACTTCTTGATTTTGAATAGCATCCTTCCTGGATTTCCCGGAAAAGCCAAAAAAAAACCTCGAAAAAATGCAGTTTTTTGCCCATATCTCGGCAACCAGACCACTTAGCGACTTGAAACATTTACCAATCGATTTTTGCCATAATTTAAAACAATATTGCCAAAGAAAGTTTTCGATAATATCATTTCGTTCGGTCACAAAAAATTAATTAAGGAAATTGCGCTTAAATTGTCACTAGACTTTTTATTAACTTGTTTTAGGTATAAACTATTTTCTTAGTCGTAAAAAATTTAAATTAATTTAATGTAATTTTTTTTTAATTTCTTGGTTCACATCATCG